AAATACCGAATCTGTATCTCCATAAATAATGATAAAACCTAATCGACTGATGAATTCGATTACTTGCTTTAACATGTGACGGCAAAATGCTGTTATACTTGACGCTATTTCCTCACGATATAATGGAGAATATTTATAACCCGTTTCTCTATACACTGAGTTTGCTAATATTTTTAATGCGTTAGATTTTGACGAATAATAAAGATATTTGGATTTATCATTCTTATGAATCTTCATCAACCGTTTCGTTTCATTATGAGCTTCTAAAAGATCATGACACATCAAAGGCATAATTCCCATTTTATCTCGCACACCATGATGTTTTTTGAAAATACCATAGGTTTTTTCATTATCAATTATGATATTTGAGTCAGTAGTAAAGTTGTTTAATCGGGTATCAGTTGATATGTTGTTTAAGATTATTGTGTTAGGATAATATGACGCAAAATCAAGATCCGCTACAGGTGTAGTAAAAGATTTGTTTGGAACTAGGACTAAAGCTCCTTCATATTTCCCTTGTTCGACTATCCTCTTTACTCTCGAAGAAACTAATATTTTCTTCTGAGATGAATATTTTCCAAATAGATTTCGAACCAAACAACCCACAGCATTTGTGAATACATTTGATATCGTCACGTATGAGAGTTCTGCTAATTGTATATAATCACTGATAATGTTTCTTTTGATATTAAGCTCATGTAATCTCATGGTATCGACCGAACAATAATATGCTAATTCAATCGCGTAATCTTCCAATTCATCATCAGATACTAAAAAGGCAAATTCACATTGTTCAAGCTGGATTTTGGTTTTTTTGGAAAGTTGTACCGCAAATTGAGTTAAAATTTGTTTGTTATGATGAAAAATTATCGCATTCGCATAAACAAACATGCATCGTAAATCGGTTGAACCTTTTTCTGGTAAATACGGTAAATCGATCTTGCCAGATAGACCACAACGTTTCAATACTACATCAAGCGTATTTTTAATTTCGGTTTGGAATGTTTTTTTTGACCAAATTAGCAAATCAATAAAAATTGTCCTTGGGATTTTTAAGAATTCGCATTTCATCGTTTCCATAGGATTAACCTTTATCTTTCGATTATTTAAGTTTATCCCTGCGAACTCATATTTCAGATTTACTTTTTCAATATCCAAATCGACAACTCGTATCTTTGTTTCTTGGATTTTTAGATCGGTGTTAGACTTGGTGTTTGTTATTATCGAAACAAACTGATCATAAATATCAAGTACCATCGACTTTCGTAATATAAAATTCCAATCATATCCTCCTGTATTAAATCCAAATTCAATGTCTGGTGAATAACTCTGATATAATTCTGCAAATTTTAATATTAATTCTTGCTGAGATTCTAATTGAATTATATGGTAATCTTTAGGATTACATTGTAAACTAGATCCATATTTTGATAAAAATTTCTCGTGATTGATCGGAATAGTCGTTAGACAAAATCTGTTGATCTTTTCACCGAAGAATATGTCAACCTGAATCATATACA